CACTTGTTTCGTTGGAATACTGTCAGATTGCTCAGGAAACTCAAATAATTTGATAATTCAAACAACAATATGAACATGCATTTTACATGCAAGTTCCCATTTATTATGTTAAAGAGAGCAAAAGTAAACATTTGAACAAATGATGACTTTACCTGGAATTTATAGTAACAATGTATATAAGTGTAAGAGGTTCAATAAAAACATTACGAATATTATCTTACATCAATTTAGAAATATAAATTACTTTATACGTTGGTTCATTGACTAAAGAGAAAGAATTCACTTTGTTCAATTTATTAAAGATTTTAACGAGATATACTTGTAAAAATTAGAAAAGATGAAGAGCATTGAATTTCACTGAACATTTGAGTACTATTAAATTAAGGTGAAAATAAAATTTCAAAAGTCTCTAAATGATCAGTTCGTAATTTAAGCATTAGATAACTATTAATAAATAACCATGATATGTTCACCTTAATTTTCATGTCCTAAAGGACAATTTATTCGCTACTAACCTTACCTAGTATCTATCTCACCACGAAACGTTGAAATGAGGTTGTAAGGATTACACTTCACCCATAATTAGCCGAGAATTCAATTTATATTTTTTAAGTTAGATGAAAGGTTATGTCTTTTCTTTCAGGAAATGAATCACCTGTTCAGTTTGCTAACTGATTATTACTCGCACAAAATGAGACGTATGAAACTGAGAAATGTATGCCAAGATGAATGGACACAACGTTCACAGGTGAGACAAAGGATCATTTACTTTTGGTGAAACTATGAAAACTTTTCTAACCTCAACTACACGGATCCTAACAAAAATAAATAGACAGTTTCGTTATTCAACTGAATGATATTATATGATAGAATAAAAATATCCTCCAAGTTAGAGACGATGAGTTATCGTATATTCATCATGTTAAATCCTTAAAATTATCCCATCAAGCAAGTTTTCGAAAGCTCCACATAGATAACTATACATTTTACGATGTAATGCACGAATACATACAAATATAGTAATTAAAGAAAATCAGAAACAAAGTAAAAAGTCAAATTTTCAAATGGCACTTCGAGTTGATTGGAGAAATTGAAAAATATAACTTGCGAAATCGAAGCACGTTAGGAGCAAATTATGATTTTAAACGGGAGTGCAAGTAATTGGATAGAGTGCTATTGCAAGTGCCTTAGATCTCGGTTACGAACTCATTAAACTATGAAAAGAATAATAATACTAAGCTACTTATCTAACTAAGTAAACCAGAATTCATGAGAAATGTTACCAATATTGTATAAATTTAATAAAATACTAGTAAATTATTAATGGAAGCAAAGTGTGTTTAATTGACACATATCTAATTGTTTAGCTTCCGTTGCTTGGTAAACTATCAAGGATTGTGCTATTAGAACTAATTCTTTCTTCATAAGAACACAAATTAGTTATATTTCAATCGCTGAGAATATTTCAAATATAATTTTCACATACAAAGTACAACAGTTTATGTTTTATTTTCCTCCAGTTCAATCTACTGCAGGCACGAATTGAACAAATTGAATTACTGGAGAAATGGCAACCGATTATTGTTCAAACAGAAGTATTGGTGAAGATGTAATATATATATATATATATATATATATATACCCATTTAGTATTAATTTTACTAATTATCGAATTTCAGCGTACCGTATACTGACAACTAAATGAATTACTGCTTAAAATAAACAATAATTCCACGTGAATTTAGTGTATAAACCTATCAATATCACTTAAATTCCAGTTTTCGATTAGTGGATCTCCACGTGAAATACGTACAAAGGAACACACATTTACAAATCTGGTCATCATTATTATCTTTTAGAAAACATTTAAATCTAACTTTAGATAGTCTGTCTGTTTATTTACTGATACCTTAGTTTAAGAAAAGGTTTTCCGTGAGCAGAACCAGTAAATGCCCCAGACAGAAAATCCTTTTCCCAATTAGATTGAAAAAGGCGATTCCAACTGGAGGAATTTTCAACTACAAAAATTCATTGGTTGACCACAACCGTAAATTAGTATGGTACTTTAACGAGTATTGACGAAACTAAACAAAAACTTCTCACCACATGACTATATGTGATTACTTCTATATGAAATAATCCATAGTAGGAGGACCTCATAGAATAAGTGTAGGCACATCTAAGCTGTATACACCATGTCTATCCCGACTATATTTTTACTAATTGGATTTTATAAGACGGTTGTGATTAGAAGACCAACTTTTGTGTGATCTGAGATCGAAAGAAAACTGCTCAGTTAAGAAGTGGGTCTTTGAGAAGAGGATAGGTGATCTAAACGTCGATGACACTTAGATTCTCCTTATATACTCAACCCTACTTACCATACACTGAATAAAGAAATCCAGCGCCATTAAGTAATGGGTAGATTCATAAATAAAGCCTAACAAAAGTATATACTCTGCATAATTACTGTGAACATACAGTTGTAGCCTCAAACTTCCATGACTAACAATGGTCTCATTTGACACTTTACTTCTTGCCAATTAGATCGATAAATGAAATCCAGTCTCAATGTTTCATTAAAATAAAGCTCTGAGGCCTATTTTCTGAAAACAATTTAGTCACTGAGAACTAAGTAATCAGAAGGGTCCCAGAAGTTTAATTTGAAGGTATAAGAGTATCACAAGAAAAATCTGATTCATATAACAGAGAATAGTATGCGCTATATAAGGGAAGAGATATCGTTATTAGGAAACAAAGAGAAACGGAGTGCAATCAAATACAGTAAGTAAATAAGAAGGGAATGTAAAATGAGATACAGTTAGACTAGAAATACAACAACGGAAGATTTCTCCTTCAGTTGAGAAAGCTCATCTCGCGATTCTGATGTATGAAGGAAAAATACAGTAGGTTTTCCAATGGCATCCTTTATGAGCAGTGTCCGGTAGCACCTTAAGCCACTGGATTTCGCGATCTCTAGGATCTCAACCAGTCTCCATAAACTGACAGATGCCAGTCCTAAGTAATTTTCTTTCATGCCACAGTGGCACGTCATAAATTGATCACTTCTTCGAGCCTATTACAGCCCGTGCCGTTGCCAGAAATTAATGCACAACAAAGAATCGCTAAGACATCCGTCCAAACCACCGAAGCTGGTGTCTCACTGATGACATCAAATGAATTATCGTGAAAATGCTCATGCACATATTACCAAACCTTGGGATATACTTTTCTAAACAATAATCAGTTCTCTGATCAGGAGTTCGACAATATTTTCAAGACGATCCAGGAGTGTCTTCTAAGCCCCTTTACTTGTAAGGCTTCAGAAGTTGAAGTTCTGTGCGTACATCTATCTCGTTAAGTATATTGATGGTCACTGACTAAAAAGTACAGGAAATTCTGGCCGACGTTGCTGGGGTGACAGACCAGTTTGACTGTTAGTCAGAAAGCTATATTCATCGTCGAAGACACCATCGTACGTTACTAACTGCCGGTTCAACAGATTGCTTCACTCATACTTGATTTTTCGCTCGGATGAGTTGAAATAGCCAATGACAATTACTAAGAATATCTACTGTTTCCAATTCGTTAGTGCAAACCAACCCCCAGATTTATCGGTCCCTAAGAAAACGGAGAAATTTCTAATGTAGGAGTCTATGTTTATCATTAAACCCATGGTCGGCTGGAGACGTGTCTCAAAGTGTTGTAAGGATCTTGAAGAAGCCCAATAATTGTTGGTGTGGCGTTCCACGAGTGACTTTACTAACCAACTTTGTGACGTCATATAGATGTAGCCAAACCCTACTTATACGGTGGACTGGTAGTTAACCTTGAACGTAAAATAACTAAACCACAGTATAATCTTCCGAATATTGGTGTTTAGATCACTAGATTCAGGTAATGTTTTGGTAACTACAAAGTGCATATTTTATTGATAACTTTTTTCATTGTCCATGAACTTGTGTAGGGAACAATTGGAGTGGTTCACATACTATAAAGACAATATTATTATCGATTATGATCAATCACTAACTGAAAGTTTGCTAGACAAACAGAGTAAAATGAATCTCAGAAAATCGATAAACCATATAGACAATAAAAAATTGGACAGATTGGTTTTCAGCATACCACAAGGAGGCACTAGAGCAGGTAGGTTGATTTAATAAATTATTAACAATCTGAAACAATTGCAGTAATTTACTTTTCTTAGAAAGCCATTTCGTATGAACATAACCCAACACATATTTCCCCATATAGTTACAGAACTTCTTTGGGGGTACAGCAAATTATCGATCATTCTGAAAAACCAACACTGAATTTTGCAATACAGAACCGACCATTACGTTTTTAGCGTATAGTGTGTGTCAGTTTCAAAGTCAACAAATAAAGTGGAGAATTTTAGCAAGATTACAAGTCCTACAGCACACCTTCGGACTTCAAGAAATTGACTGTTCGCACACTTGTTTGGTTTGTTTCTTAAACAATAGTCATGAACGCAACGTTCTCATTAACTCCAGATTTGAAGTAGCGGTTATATGTGGATGATTATCATTCATGTCAGTCGTTCACTTCAGACCTAATTACGCTGAAACGTTATTTTCATTAGTAATGAAGCAAGCAAAACTAACTCAATAGAAATAAACCGCCAAACCACTGTTTCGAATGCGACTGGTTAACTAGTGTTATTTTTGCGTACGTAACCAGAAAATCTGTAGGCGAAACGACAAGAACTTCAAAGTTCATGTCATTTATTCGATTAAACCTGTAATGTGACAGACTTCCCTCTACTACACACCTACGGAGATCTTGATTACCTAATTTATTTCAAAGCATATGACTGTGCACTTCCAGTGTGAAAAATACTATTCAGAATATCTTAACCACGTAAAACGCTAACGAATTAGTCCAATTAAACGAAAACGAAAGGAGGATTATAAAGAAACGATAAGCGCGACGGAAATGTGATCACGTGAAATACCGACTTCAAATCCTAAATACTGCTGATACTCATGGACAATCTTGCTGAGCCATGATCCTATTTTGGCTCTTCAGTTTCGTAGAAACAATACAGTTTCTCATACTTTAAGCAGACTAAAACTGCACAAATACAGAAAAAGAAAGAGACCGGTATTTTTAACTTTATTAGGTCCAGTGAAGATGCATGTACAAAGTGACGACATGTACATACCGAACTCACAAGTTTTACGATCATTTTTGAGACGAAAATACAAGTATACGGTAACCTTGGTAGCTGTTGATGGATAGGGTAGTGTCACATCAACTAAGCGTACGTTAGTTGGTCATACCGAATGGTAGAAGTTTGCCAATAGATTTTGAAGACCACGATAAGCCAGCAAACTACTGTGAAAAAATTAACAGCAACATGGACTTACTAGATAAACCGTTAATCAGGGTGACAACCGATCGTTATGACATTCAAAATCATTCAGTGCTTTAAATTGACGAACGAGCAATTCCTCGTCCTAGACGATAGCCGATTCAGTGAACGAACATACCTCAACTATGTCCTTTATACGTACAACGCTCGGTGAAATATCAGGCAATGGGAGGCATGAAGTATCACAACGTTGTTCGTGATTTGCAGTTATAAGACTCTGATTACTTTTCTAGCGTGAAGTTTTGAAACAATCAAAACTGCCTACCATTTTGTTAAATTTGTCCTGGGTATATTTATCATGTAGCTCAACAATTCTGTCTCTGCAAGCTACACGTTTCTTTACAAGGTTCATCAACTCACAATTTAAAATCCCAGAGCCATCCATTTCAGTTTCACCGCGCTTTAGTTTCATACAATAGCCAATGTGTGTCACCTTCGAAAACATACTTAAGTCTTTTAATTGTGTAGTTAAAATGATTTGCTGCATCCCCCAATTTCAAGGTTTACCAATTTGCAGCGGTCTTATCTAATGGAAATCAATGTTCATTACACATCATCTGTGTTGTAGGATCAAAATCTGTTATCTATCTATCTGTCTATCTATCTATCTATGATTTATAAACATCACTTTGGTCCATCGTCGTTGAACTGGTTCGAGCACATACGCTTTTTACTTGAAAGAAAGATTCACTGATTGAATCACATAGTTCAAGTGCGGCCCCACGAATTCGAGTAGAATGCAAAGGGACCCTTTCAAATTCTGTACTTGAATCCATAAAAAGTACATTTACCTGCATTATTCTATCTCTCACTGCAGTTCACTTTTCCCTTTTAGTGAGGGGTTTTGTCAATCATGATAGGGCTCTTCTAAAACCATGTTGTTCCGTGTCCTTAAAGTTGTTCGTTTTCACATGGATAGTTTTCTTCCATTTGTTCGACGATGACACCGGTGAAACTAACTAAGAATTTTCCCCACAGACAATAAACCAGACTGATTAATGCGTGTTTCCAATAGTTTGAGAGTTTCGACTGTCTCAAAAGGTACTGACATAACATCCTCCAGGGCTTTCACAATCCTAGGATGAATTTCGTTAGGACCGCTACATTCATCCGGTTTGAGATGTTGAATAATCATAAGACAGCACCTTTTTCAATAACCAGAGGATCCATAGATAAGCCACCACTAATATGTCTTATTGTTATTCTTTCCCCATTGTCAATAAACACACCTTATTAAAATGTCCTGATAGAAATTTAGGTCTAGTAATTTCATATCTAGCCTGTTTGAACGACATTTTCATGCTAGAAGCGAGGGAATTCCATCGCTTCTCTGAGTTAACCTCTTTATGTGAAAGAAAAACCCTTCAGGACTGTTTTCATAAATCCTAAGCCGTTGTTTTTATACAAACGTCCAGCCCTGTCAACTTTTTGCAAGAGTAACTAGACTTTCAATGAATAGATTTGTATTATCCAAAGCCTGTAGAGATAGGCACACTTCCTACGTCCAAGAAGTTTTTTGACTTGTTTAGTTACCTACGATAGGATTTACAAGGTTACATCGCACTGATTAGTATATAAAGCGGAACGAAACTAAGGTAAGTGTGCCTTTAAATGTAGACCACTCAATTGATGAGTTAATATATACTGGCCAGCCCACTGATGTAGCACACTCATGTATGGATGTTATGTTTACTTTCCACACATTTAGGAGAGCTCCAACCTGATCATGCATTATGTCACACGTCTTAAATACGAATAACAAAACAAAATGATGTCTATTTGCTGACATGCAATATTGTCGGTCTCACGAGCTATTACTAAGTCTAACAAAGAAGGTCCTTGTTCTGAATCTAAACATGCGGGCTCGGATATGTACTTTACCAAGACAAGCACTATGATCATCATCGGGAGCTTGCTATCGAAAGAAATCACACGCCATCTATCTCTGTCAATTTAATATCAGGTACATAAAGATCATCTGATATCAGACACCAGTTATTCTTGTGAAATGGTCGAATGTGTTCTAAAATGAAGCTGTAGCGTGGTGTCGAGTTGAGGTTAACTATGGACACCGCTACCAAGAAACACGTGCCAAATAAATCAGAAGGCGTAGGTTGAACGTAACCAAAGAAACCCATAAAATCTCCGAGAAGCCAAATACCAGAAGGCAATTAATGGACCAAATCGAGATATATATTTGCTGGCGATCTCGTGGTATCGAAAGGATACCGAGATCGTGCCAGGATACAAGCTTGGTTACAGAACGTAACCGAATTCGCGCGAAGTCACGGTCAAAGTGTAAGAATAATAATGGAAGCACAATATATCTGTCATTAGCACAGTCAAACAAAAGCACATTAAAACAAGCACTGGTACAGTTGGTTATAATAATAATTGTTTTTATTAAACCAGTCGTGTTCTCGTGATAAATGTGAGTCACTACAAAGCCATCAGCCTAGCAGATAACTCCTTCGAGGGTGAGTTCACTGTCAGTGACTCCACAGCTTCTAGTAAAGGAACGGATTTTCATACCATTAGTTATGCATATAGGGATCCCACCCCAATTTCGTTATCTATTCTTATTACTTCTAAGTGTGGTATCCTGATTATTGTAGAGTAACGCCGAAGTTGCTAACCCATCATTTTTCAGTTGCAGCTATAAGGGGTGGCTTTTATTCATTGACTACTACTCCTAGTTCGTGGAATTCACTTTACGGACTACGGACATTTGTATATAAAATTCTCAAAGAGGATGACTTATCTACACAGGTCTCAATAACATTTATTTACAAGACCTGACTACTTAAAAACTCATAAGCAATGGTTTCCTTCCCTACTATATCGACGGTTCTTTAGTTTAGCTATTTCCTTCTTCCATTTTGATCAATCTTCTAGAAGCAAATTAGGTTTTGCAAGAAAGTCAAGGCTTCAAATCCTTGTTAGCGAAAATTTCATTGTTCTTCCAAATCCAAAATTGCTTTCAAAAGTAAAAATGGTCGGGGTTCGTCACTTATTCAGTTCTCTTATCTATTTTTACCAACTTTTTGATCTGTATTCTGGAACAGTTATTTAGTGAGATGGTACTAATAAATGTTCCAACCTTTTCAAATTAATCCACTTATTTGAATTTTGGTCAGGGTTGTCTGGCTCTAGCAATCAACGTACAGTAGTATTCCACAAAGTCAAGCTGTTTCTTTGTATGCTTGCGTTAAGTATAGTCTTACTTCTGTGGCTCAGGAAGGGAGTTTATCAAAGACTATCCAATCAAACAGGCTGTTGTGACAGGTGTGTGTTGTTATTTGGCTTTGTTTTTCCGTGTTTCGTAATCGGATGTCGGACTCCTTCAGTACTCTGTAGTGTGGCGTCGAGTCGCGGTTGACTATGATCACCACTACAGGAAGACTACGTGCCAGTTAACCGATAATATCTTCCATAAGCCAAATATCAGAAGGCAGTTGATGGCTGTAGTAGCGATGTATTCGTTGGCGATCTTGTGGTATTGAAAGAATACCGAGATCGTGCCAGGCTACAAGTGTGGTTACTGAGCGTAACCGAATTCGTGCAAGGTCACAACCAACGGAAGAATGTATGTTTTGGTACAGTTAAACAAACAAGCATGGTAAAACAACCACTGGTATAGTTGGTTATAATAATAATTGTTTCCATTACACCAATAACGTTCTCTTGATAGAAGTAGGTCACTACAACTCCTCTAGAACTTTCTATGCTAGTACATACTCCAATATCAGTGTAGTGGACGAATTTATTTTAATACAGAATTGCAGAACAACATGGTAAAATCTAAGAGCTATACAGTAAACACTTAATTTGCAAAACGTCAATCAATTGTCTCAAACTTGACCATTCCTTTTGCAAATATCAGTCAATCGTCTCAGACTTCATTGTTATTTCGTTTCCACACCAATCATTCTTTGTCCTCGTTTTATTTTCTTTGATCTTATTAACCTTCGGCCGCCAGGCATTTCACTTTTTATTGATGATACATACTACTTATATCTGGCAACATCAGTAGTCAAGTTACCAGTGCAGCCACCATCAACTTTCTTGATGACCAGCTACAGAAGGCGCATCACCTCTCAGATCAGTTCATGTATTACTCAGTCACAACAAAATTAAAAATTAAATGTTTAAGTTATGAGACGGACGTTAAAGTAAATACCGACAAAGATTTTAAAATGCTCTGGTCACTTTTGTTCGTGTATGTATGAAAACATTTGTTCCAAACTTCTATTATTTATGGGCGCTACTACTCACTTATTACACCAACGTCGTTGATGCCGGTATTAAAAAATTCATCTCATCGCAGTTTTAGAGGAGACATGTATCATTGAACTATGATGGCTTTATAACCTTTAAATGTCGGCTGGATTAGTCATACTTTCAATAAAATGTAACACTTATTTGTCGGTCTTCCAATGTAGATCATATTCAATTTGAATGATAATTTGGTTGAGATTCTGTGTTACTCACCTCTCGGTACAATTTAATACCTAACCTGGTTTATTCTCATGTTACTAACAGGTTAGGCGGATTCTTTGATGACTGAGTCAAGTAATTAGAATTTTATTAACTTATCATTGTTGAATAAAATGGACAGATTACATACGTGCACCACTGTATGAGTAATTTCATGGGGTTCAGATGGTTAATCTTTGTTAGTTCCATCCAACCTTAACAATCTTCGGCAAACTGTTTAACGTTTGGTGATTCAATTTTCAACATAGAAACGATGCAACTTAATGGATGATTTAGCTAAAACTTTGGTACAGTTTGCTGGCCCTATGCACTTATTGACTTTGTGTATTTAAATGATACACTGCTGTTCGATGAAGTCGCTAACAAAATGAAGTCTTCCGATCACCTTAAGTAAAGACAGAAGCATTTCTCGTAACATATTTTTCGCTCCCTTAATTCAAAACATTTCCCTAATACTCTTCTGCAATAACGCCAAAACAGTTTGATTGTTTAGCTCATCAACTACTACACTTATCATGGATATCTCATCAGTGCTATGGATAGTTTTTGTGTCCACTTTTTCTTATTACATAGGAGGATAGTGAATGAGAGTTATTCGTCCTTGGAACATGTCATTATTTGATTGGCTTAGTTATAAACTTGAGAATTCTGAGTATGTTTATTATTGTTGTGGACTTATTTGGTCGATCTGTCTCTCACAGTGTATTAATTTGAAATGCTTGAATATCAGCGCGCTACTGATCAGCTGTTTATAAATAAGTGAAATCGAAGTTTAAGAGGCATTTAGAGATTCAAGGATATACTGAAGCCACGAAGCGAAAGAGTGCATGATCTTTTTACCCATCCGAACAACAAAAATATGACTTCATCAGTTGTTGCGCCGCATGTTCAAACGTATGTGGTGAAAGGACAGTTAGAATTTATTGAAAAAGGTTCTGAAATTGAACTGTTTTGCTGCCAGTTAATCCACACAAATACGCTTTTGAATTATTACTTCATTTGTGTTACTGCTCAACAGATGGATTACAAGT